CCCGCAGGCGCAGCTGCTCGCCTCGCCCGCTGAAATAGAGCGCCCCACCTGCGCCACCCGGGCGGCCCGCGGCCGCCGCGCCTCGCCGCCGCCGCCGCCGCCGCCGCCGCCGGGCGGTGCCTGGGAAGCCGTGCGCGTCCCCCGGCGGCGGCAGCAGCGGGAGACGAGGGGCGCCGCGGAGGAGCCGAGCCCGCCGAGCCGGGCGCTCTATTTCAGCGGGCGAGGCGAGCAGCTGCGCCTGCGGGCCGACCTCGAGCTGCCCCGGGACGCGTTCACGCTGCAAGTGTGGCTGCGAGCGGAGGGGGGCCAGAGCTCTCCGGCGGTGATCACAGGTAGGCGAGGGCGCCCAGGCGGGCGCTGCACCGGCCCTGCGGCCCCAGGGGCGCGCGGGTGCTTGGGCGCTGGTGGCGGGATCGTTGGGGGCTGGCGGGTGTGTCTGTGCGGGAGCCGCTGTGCCCGCGGCGCGGCGGCTCCGGGGCGAGCTGCGAGCCTCACTTTGCCCCATCTGCGGAATGGGCGCACGCGGAAGGCGTCTCCGCCTAGCCCCGCTGGAAGAGCGCAGGGAGCGCTCCCGGCCTCCTGGAGACCCGCAGTTGCTGAGGGCTGGTCTCCGGGGAGCCTCGTGCGCGTGAACCGTGTTTTGGATGGTCAGAGGTACTGTCTCCGTTTGGGATGAAGGAATGACCCAGTTGGGATGCATGCGAAAAGTGGCTAGGGGACCGTTGATTTCTTTGGGTTTTTAATGGAGGTGACCCTCCCCCTTTACTTGGCCCCGTTACCCTGAAAGCCTACAAAGACAAGGTTGTTGTGATGGCCAGGACTTAGAAGTCCTCAAAGTGCCCCCAAAGTTGCTGTGTGGTTGCTGCCTGCCTCTGGGATTCACCCCCTTACCCCAGGCACACACAGACACGCGCACACATACTGCCATCCCATGTCCTTGCTTTCAAAGCCTGTCACTCGGGGCTGGGGTGAGACTTTCCTCAGGCACACCCCGCCAGTCCTCCCCCGACTAGGCTGAGAAAACGGGGCGCTTTTCTCATTTGGGACTTTTACGAGCCCGTAATGAATTTGAGTTCTCCCTCCTCACACACACACCCACCCACCCGCCCAACACACACACACACACACCGTTCTACAGCACAGCCCGTAGTGAAACCGGACACTTTGGGAGGGTTGCAAACCTTAGAAATGCACCAACATCCATTTTTCCCCCCTCCTAATGAATCTGTGGCAATGCCTTTAATAAAACTGGGGGGCGGAGGGGGGCGGCGCTGGAGGAGAGAAGGAAAGTTTTGCCTCTTCTGGCTGGGAGATTCCCTTCCTGCACAAACAGTCTTGCCATGTCCTAGGACGTCTCAAAGTGAGAGTAGGGGTTCCCCTTTCGCTGCAGCCAGGAAACGTGTGGAGGCGTTTTGCGATCCCACCCCCTTACACACACTTTCTTAGAAGGGAAAGCTCTGAGTTCTTCCGGCAGTCCGCTTCTTTCTATTTTGGCGTGGACTTTCTCAACCGTTGCGCTAACGCTGTCCTATTTACATCAAGTCCATTTAGGGGACCCAAACTCTGCTGCTATACCAAGAATATGCCCCCAAAGCTCCCGCTCTCCCGCTACCAAGCCAAGAGCTAGAAAGTGACTTTCCCCCATACCTGACGTCATCACATGCTTCTTTTTTCCTTTTCTTTCTTTTTTTTTTTTTTCCCCCCCCCCCCCCCCACCCCAGGAAGGAGAGGGAAACTGAGCTTATTCACTTTTAGCCCTCAAGCCCTAGTCAGCCAGAGGGGGTTATAATGTAGAGTAGAGGGGAGATGTTATTCATAATAATAATAATGATGATTATAATTCAGGGCTGTGGTATGTTTACTTCTCTTTCGGAACATAGGAAAAACACAGAGCCTGCAGATTGGAGGGTTTTTTTTTTTAAATAAGTAGATCTGATTTTTCCTAGTCTCTACCTGCCATACCAGTGATTTGGAAGGCTTCTCCTCCAGAGGGGAGAGTGCAGGGTTATATAGGTATCATCAATGAAAAGGTAGTAAATGCATTTTTTCAAAATAAAAAATATAGCACCTGGGATTCCACAGGAGCCTGCTTTATAAATGTCTGTAATTCAGACAAGGAGCCTCTCTTCACACACGCTCTTTTGAGGACTCATTCGCTGTCTCACACAAAGATAGTGCAGTAAAATCCTTTAATTGGATGGGGGACGTTAGGTTATTATTGCTTGTATAAAATGCCTGGTCCATTTTATGTGTGGAAGTAACATTCCTCTCAAAATGAGGAAAAAAAAAAAAAAAAAAAAGTCACTGCTGCCGTGTAGCACCAGAAAGCTCAGAGCTTTTCTCCTGAGGATTCTGGTGGATTTTTTTTTTTCCCTCCCCTAGTTGAGTCTGAGCCAGATTTGCGGTGTGTAAACACCTGGCCTTGAGCCAGAAAAGACTCATTCTGCGTATCCTCCACACGGTACAGACTGTTGGACTAAAAAGAACCTGCTTCTCCTTGAATTAAAAAGCAAACAAACAGAGGTTCTTTGCAGAAGCACTTTTTCAGCTCCTTCCTTCGTGTAAGTTCAGGCTAGGAGAGGCCGGGCCGAGGTGGGCAGTTTGGATGCCGGTGCCAAACCGTGTCCTCCCGCTGTGACCTCGGGTGCCCAGTTTGCTGCCTGACCTCTGCTGGCTCTCTCTGGCTGGGCGTCACCACTTTCGTAGGAATCCCTGGTCACCTGTCTTGAGAGAGCAGGCATCTCTCAGCAGGGACCGCGCTGCTATTTCAGGCAGAGGGTTGCTGCCTTGCTGTCAGGCCAGGCTGCCTTACATCACTCTTGTCTGCAGGATTCAGTTGGGTTTCGTAAAGGTCTAATTTTATGATGCTGTTAACCGGGTTTGTCGTCTGGCAGAGGCAGGCCTTGCCGCTCCTGGTAGGCGGGCTATGCTCCCAGATCCGCCTGGGATGCTATTTCTGCCCCGGTTCAAACTTCACTGACACCAGTTCAGACAGGCGCTCGGAGAGGCAGAGGGAAGCAGTGAAGGAGCAGTTTGCTTCTGAAGCTCAGAAAACATGCCTTTTATTTTTTCCAAAAGGGAAGGAGAGAAATATATATAAATATATATATATATATATATATATATATAAACAAATAAAACTGGGAAGGCTTATGCATGCAAAAACAAAGCTAAAGTGAGAAAGTGCCTGTGTGCAGGAGTCTGAGGGTTGAAGAGCCCACCAGCGATGGATGGTCTGAGGGTTGGAGAGTCCTTTAAGGCTATTGTGAAGAGGGTCCTTGGAGGTTACCCGGGCCAGTTCTTCTGTCTTTGGCCGAACAGGGAGACAGAGACGTGGAGAGGGGAAGGATGTGTGCTGGATGACACAGCTCCCCAATGCCAGGAGCTAGGATTTGATCCTGGGCATCCTCACTTCCAGACCTTACCCGCTACACTGCTGAGAGAATGTGTCTGAGAAACCCTGTTACCTCCGACCCCTCACAGACCCACCACCCAGCACAGCCCTCAGCCTCGGTGCTCGGCAATTTGGGCTCCCTTTCAAGTCTGGGGGCGGGGGGGCTTCCCGACACACCCCTTCGCCTTTTACCAGGCAGGATCCAGACCCTTGCCCCTCATCCCCAACTGCCCTCCCCCACCGTACCCCTCCAGTTTGACAGAAAGAGAAAAGAGGACGAAAAAGAAAACAATAGAGTCAATTTGCTGCTCCATGGAGCGGAGGCCCCTGAGTAGCAGTTAATCTTGTTAAAGTGTCTCCTGACCTGTTAGATAAGTGAAATGTGGACCCCACAAGCGCTGCCCTCCTCCCACCCCCACCCCTCAGTGATCCAGAATCCCTGCTCAGAAGGAGAAAGGGATTTACCTGAATCCCCTCCAGCACCTCCGCTTTCCGTGCTTTTCTCTTTTGTTCTAAATGTTGGACTGTTGAGTTCAGCCACTACTCAGAAGAGAGTTTTTATTTCCTCTCTTCTGCGGCCCCTACTTCCCGCAACCCAACCAACCCCCCAAAAAGAGTGCCTGTATTTCCCCAACTTCAGAACTGTAACAGGGAAGGCTAGATTTCAAGAAGTTCATGTATTAACATGGTTCTCCCCACAACATTCATAGTGGCGGCTGGGGTCTAGGATATTGCCATGGGGTGAGAAGCCAGTTTTAGTAGCTGGGTTGCCTCTGCGTGAATCTACCTCTGCCCCTAACTGGCTGTGTGACCTTGGGAAAGTTAACTGATTCCTCTGGGCGTCAGCTTCTTCATCTGCAAAGTGGGCGTAGCACGGGTACCTGACGCATTACATGAGCTCATACGTGGAAAGTGCTTAGAACTGGACTTAGTGGATAGTAAGTACTCAATGAACTGTGATCTTACTATTGGACATGATTTTCCAATGACCTCAGCCTTGGCTTTATGGACTGAGGACACTTAAAGGCAGGAAGGAAAGCAACTCTTCCTGGGTGCCTCCGAGGTGCCGGGTACTGCGCTTGCCTTGTGTCTGCGAGTTTCATCCTCACAACCGCCCTGGAAGGTGGACGTTGTTACCTCTGTTTTCCAAATGAGGAAACAAAGTCTCGGAAAGTTGAAGCGACTTAGTCCAAAGCCCCACGGGCTCTTGCAGTGGACAGAGCCCAGATATGAACTCGAGTCTTAAGTGCCTGTTTCTTCTTCAGCAGTCTTTTTGGAGAGAGAAGGAATGACCCCCATTCCCTTCTTTAGACCTGCTGCAGAATGTCGCCACTCTTTCCTGCATCTCTTTGTGCTGACCATACGCCTACAGATTAAAGGGGATAAAACATGAATCCAAGTCTCACTTGGAGCTCTGGGTTTGACCTAGCAGATCTGTGTTTCTTTTCACGTCAAATTATCAGGCAGACTGGGCTTGGAATTTCTGTTGCCAATGACTTGCTGTGTGATTTGAGTCACGTCACTTTATCTCTCTAGCCCTTGCTTTCCTCCTCTGTAAAATGGGCATAATGATATCAGGACACTGAAGTGGAAAAAACAGGCAGAAAGTACCTGACACAGAGCCAGCTCATATTAGGGATTCAGTCAGTGGTAGTTGGATCCAGTAAGTAACCACCTTCCCTTTCCCAATATGCCAGCTTGGCCTTCAGAAAGTAGGACCTGTTTGTGCATTGTTAGGGCTTTCCCTCTTAAGTTGCTGGGCAATCTATCTAGAGTAGACAGTGTATCTTGGGGAACAGTTGGACCCCTTCAAATCCCTTCCTTGAACTTTGATTTCCTCTTCTTTGACCTACTTGGATGACCCCTTGGTGATAAGAGCCAGAGGAGGTCCAAAACCACTGGAACAATGAATAGGAAAACCAGTTAGCACCCAGAGGG